CCATATGTTGTAGTCTACATCTCCCATAATTTCTTTACAACCACAATGCTGACAAAGCATTAGGGCAGATGTAGTCCACAACCCTTGGCATAGATTAATACATTAGCTCAACAGCATTCCAAAGCAAAATAATAATATGCTGGATAGTAGTTAATGGGTGATAACATAAACCCATAAATAATACTGAACTATGTTTTATATATTTTCAGATTTGTTGACGTTGGCCTTAACGTTGCAACAACATATCCTCATACAAAAATCTAATTATTAGACAATTAGAAGTAATTTTTCGTTTAAACTGTATTTTAATTTAGAGATTTAGTAGAGATTGCCAATTAGATGATAAGTACGTCATCATCAAGAAATGATAATGAGTTTTACACAAACTCATATTTAAAGCTGTCAAGGGCAGACAACACTCGAGCTTTAAATGAATGACTATGTACATTTGACCTTATAGACGTATGACGTATCAAGAAAAATGATGTTGCTACAGAGATAACACAAAAAACAAGGTTGAAATCCAAACAAGACACTCTGTTACATAAAATCAATGCTTCTTCTTAATTGATACATTAACTGTTTAGAAAAAAATGAAGGGAATTCTTATTGTAGAATTAAACAGCTATAAAGAGCATAACAAAGAGCTTTGTTTAACGTGCCAAAGCATTTATTTGATTTCAGTAAAACTATTTTACTTTTTCTGATTTATATGTTCCAGACTGAAAAAAAAAAAAAACAGTTAAAACTTCACTTGATTGTCAGAACAAATAATGATAAAAAAAGTTGCAAAACCGTTGTTCTGTCTGCTACTATGATTGTATCACTTCCAGAAATATATACCTCCCTGCAAATTTTGTTCTTCATTTGCACTTCAAATTGTTTTCTACACTTCTGTTTTCCATCCATTTTCAAGCAATTTTACTTGAAGCCTGCATTATTGCATTTCAGAATTCACAGTAGAAAATCATCTATTGCTTAGGAAAAAAAATAAGCTTGTGAATGGATATTATTTTATATATTTAAATACACAAATTTCATTGCTTTCCCCACCCATGTTAGAGTGAGGTACATTTATAAATACTGACAGGTATTTGAGAGCTACACAGTCACACTCCTACACAAAGGCACTCACTCTGACAGGTACATAGTGGCTGGTGTCTATAAATACGCTGTAGCAGGTACCCACACAGACACATTTACATGCTGTGAACGCTACACACATGCATAATTATGCACAGCCTGGCAAATACACATACACATCGCACAATGGTACAGCAGTGGTTATATAGGGATGGTGTACACTTTCTGAAGTATAGGTCTTGTTATTCACAACCCAAACTGAGGAATGCACTTTGGGCTATATGTTTACTATTTTGGCTTAATTGTCCTGAAGTAGAAGCAGGGTAAATGAATGGCTGTGATGTGATCCCAGATAATTTTTTTCTTACATGTTAAAGGACCACTCTAGGCACCCAGACCACTTCAGCTTAATGAAGTGGTCTGGGTGACAGGTCCAGCTAGGGTTAACCCATTTTTTAAATAAACATAACAGTTTCAGAGAAACTGCTATGTTTATAAATGGGTTAAGCCTTCCCCCAAAGCCTCTAGCGGCTGTCTCATTGACAGCTGCTAGAGGCTCTTGCGTGCTTCTCACTGTGAAAATCACAGTGAGAGCACACAAGCGTCCATAGGAAAGCATTGATAATGCTTTCCTATGCGACCGGCTGAATGCGCGCACAGCTATTGCCGCCCGTGCGCATTCAGCCGACGGGGAGGAACGGAGGAGGATCAGAGGAGAAGAGCTCCCCGCCCAGCGCTGGAAAAAGGTACGTTTTACCCCTTTCCAGAGCCGGGCGGGAGGGGGTCCCTGAGGGTGGGAGCACCCTCCTGGCACTATAGTGGTCCTTTAAGACCCTCCTATCTGAAGCCAGGACCCCAAGATTCAGGGTGTGTAAGAAGTATATGGTGAGATTTTGAGAAGGAGCAATGGCACAGCCAGGATTTAGAAGCCAGGGTTCACTTTACAAATGTTGGATCCCCAATTTCTGTGTCAGTAATGCAGGTTCTTCAGTGTCATCACCATGACCTATTGAAAAAAGCCAGGTAATACAACTGAAGTATTGCCAACATGATGTTGAATGTCTCCTTAGAAGGTTTTTTCTTTTTAAAGTTTAGAGTATTCCTCCACAATGGATGTATTATCAGTAAAGAGTTTCAATTATAGGAGGAAATAAACACATGCATATGTATGAGTGTTTTTTTGTGATCTCTGAATGCATTACTCATAACTACTTGTTTATTCATACATGGATAGAATTTTAATATATGGGCGTATATCAGAAACATAATACTCAGAATATCTTCATGATAACATAATAAAATGTAGTATTTATTATTTATGGAATGAACATAATCTTTGACACAATCATACACAGAGATCTTTTCTCTCTGCTTTCAAATTTTCATTTTCAATTTCCACCTACAAAATAGCACTTACCTCTCTCCACAATCTTCTGTTTGTGCGTTGGTAGAAACATAAAATGAAGAATAAAAATCTCCTATATCAGCCACAATATTAAAACCACTGACAGGTGCAGTGAATAAAATTGATTATATTGGTACGATGGCCGCTGCCATGGAGTAGGATATATTTGGCAGCAGGTAAATAGTCAGTTCTTGAATTTTTTTATGTGTTGGAAGCAGGAAAATGGGGAAGTGAAAAGACAGTAAAAAGAGGGAAATGTAGAGGAAGCAGTGAGAAAATACAGAGGGAGATGCAGAAAAAATATGAAGAACATATCCCAGCAGGGAAGGAGGAAATAACGTGGAAGGTGCAAAGAGAAACATGGGAAATCTATACTAGCGGAAAGTTTGATTAGTAAGATGGAGGAGATTATTCACGAAAGTTAGAAAGTATCTGGATGAGAGAGGAAGGAAACTGGAACAAAAGTAGTTTTAGAAAACAGAAAAATATATAAGAGAGTGGAAAGAAGAGTGTGTAAAACAACAAAAGAAGTTGGATTGAGAGGGTGGGTAGAACATCTGTGGAATTACCATGTATTGGTAAAGGGGATTAGTATAGAGATAAGTTGAAACATATTGACGTAATATTAAATAAATAGAAACAAGACAGAGAGAGTTGTGGAAAAGGGAAGAGACTGAATGGGGAAGAGGATGACTGAAGTAAACAAGTGGAAAGAGGAAAAGATAACTAAAAAAAAAACTGTCCGAGAGGTTAACAATAACTGAGCCATGTTACACCCAGGATGGGGCATTCGTGCACAGACTATCAAAAATACCCTCCCAAACAATAATTCAACACAAATACACTTTCTTCTGCCTTTCAGATAGATCCCCATTTGTTAGGTTATCTTGATACACCTCAATAAACATCACTAGACAGCTGACTAATAGGTTATTAGTAGTTTAGCATTTATTATGCTATTGTATACTAAAAGGTAAGAAAGTCACTTAGACTTCTCTGCATCCTCCATCCAACCATACTCTTTTTTTGTATATGCAACAAAAATGGAAAATATGAGAACTCTGAGAATGGAGAAAAGCTAAGACGAGCTAAGTCAGTATCTTGTCCTTCTGTAAATCCCCGCTCAGGCCTCAAAATAGTTTTTGCTCACTTGTGCCATTACAGAGAGAACTAGTTCCAAGGAATATCAGAATAATCCCACCTATAAGGGGAGCTCAGAACCAAAACGCAGGCAAGTTCTCTCTGCATGAGAGATACAGCAACTCCGGACAATCATTTTGGCCTTCTTGGGACTCTTCTGTGAGGTGTAGCTAATACACAGTGAGCACGGGGTCCACGTCTGGATTACCCTTTTGAACATGGGGAGTGCCAAGGTAATGCATTGCAAAAAAACTGCGAATATGAGAACTCTGAGAATGGAGAAAAGCTTAGAGAAACTCAACAGCTTGCTCCTCAATAAATCCCTGCTCAGGTTTCAAAATATTTTTTGCTCACTTGTGCCATTACAGAGAGAATCAGTTCTTTTTTGTATATAAACAACACACACATGCATTAGCACTTTCATTTTGAAGATGATACAGATGTGCATTTCATAGTTTTGCTTTGATTTTTCTGGTTATTTACATAAAATGTTGATACACACTAGTATTTTAGAAACCGTATTTTTGAAAGTGTTTTGTCAATTGCTTGTCCTCCACCTCAATATTCTATAGCAAAAACAATGCAGCAAGGAACCAACCAGGGGAATGAAAGACTGCAAATTACTAAAAATATATTTAGAAAGCACCATTGAGCTACTGCACAGTGGATATAGATAAAGATACACAGATGGGTCAGTGTTTAGTAACACAAAGAGGTAAATAGCAATGCAACAACCCTAAAAATGGGTATCCCTCTCAACCCTTTAGAATAACACAAGGAAAAAAGACAGGAAAGGGCTGTGCCACATATAATAAGTAGAGTTGAGTGGACACCTGGATGTTCGGATCATGCGGGTTCAGCCGAACTTTGAAAAAAAGTCCGGGTTCACGATCGAACTTGACCCCGAACTTGACCATGAACCCGAACCCCATTGAAGTCAATGGGGACCCAAACTTTTGGGCACAAAAATGCCTCTAAAAAACTCCTGGAAAGGGCTAGAGAGCTACAAAAGGAAGTAAAATGGGGGTAAGAGTAGGACAAGTACCCTGCAAACAAATGTGGATAGAGAAATCACTTAAAATAACATAAAATACCTAAAAAAATTAAATACAGCTGAGCCATAAAACAGCACTAAATGGAATCTTTGATTTTAACTTTGGAAGAACATAAATCAAAATCTAAAGCATGGCTGTCAGGAGGATCACCAGAATTATCCATTTGAGAGAGGGTTGGCATGCAGGGTATTCTCTTTCATTGTTCAAACTGAGCTCAACTCCTGATGCATGGAGAAAAGGCCTCCACAAGCCTCTGCTAATGTGTACATAGTTTATACTAAGTGACCCATAGGTTGAGGAGGCGGTGACCGTGGTGGTGTAGGTGGAAGCAGCGGTGGAGGAGGAGGATGAGGTAACCAACACTGTTTTTTATATATATATATTTTTTTTAACTGGGGTAGCCCCCCAAATATTGGGACATATAAAAATGACAACTCTGTTCCGCAGAGTAGCTGTTGACATTATAGTTGCGCAGGCACTTTGTTGACTCTAGAGAACCTCGGACCAATCGCACATCCCTGTGACGGCGACTTTGCATTCGGATGTCATCCATATAAACTTTCGATGCCAGTTTCTGCGCCTACCATGGTGACCACGGGTAACGGGGAATCAAGGTTCCATTCCTTATAGGGACCCTGAGAAACAGCTACCACATGCAAGGAAGGCAGCAGGCGTGCAAATGACCCACTCCCGACGCGGGAAGGTAGTGACGACAAATAACAATAAAGGACTCTTTAGAGGTCCTGTAATTGTAATGAGTCCACTTGAAATCCTTTAACTCTGATCAATTGGAGGGAAGTCTGGTGCAGAGCCACTGACCCGTGCGTGCTGCAGCTGAAACTCCACTATCGCCTGCTGCTGTTCCACAGTCTCATGAGGTAGTGAGCTGGAAAGCCGAAGTTATGCTGCAGCGCACACAGGCGAGCAGCAGCAGGTTGAGAATGCCAAAAGCGCGCACAGCCGCTACAGTGAATGTCACATCCTGTTCCAAGTTGCGGATCAGTCTGGTGATGGCTTCTGGTATCAAGTACTCTTTTTAGTGAAGCTGCATCAGGGTCCTGGTATGTGGCCACACAAACGCTGGTGCTCAACACCAGGGGGCATGCGGTTACCCTGCACCAGGCCCTGCTAATCCATTTCACACTGACTCCTAACTTCAACATCAGGTATAATGGGTACCAGTCGTCTGACCGCCGCCCAGACAGTGTCTGGGTCCTGGTCACCGGACTGCCCACCTGACTGTGAAACTACGAATCTATTATGGATTCTTTGATTGCTACATGTATTACTTGGATAACTGGTAATTCTCAAGCTAATACATGCCGACGAGCACTAGGGGAAGGCTGCTCCGCTTTTGCATCTTGCTCCCTCTTATGCTGTGCTGGTGCCTCTGTGCGACCAGCACCTCTTCCTCCAAACTGCACACGTCACTCGCATGACCTTGATACCATGTGGGGTCTAGGACCTTATCATCCTCCACATCATCTTCCACCCACCCCTCAACCCTGCCCTCCTTGCCGGTATGCACACTGCAGAAAGCCACAGCAGTTGGCACCTGTGTTTTTCCAGCATGTAAAGTCTGCAAAGGACATATGGAAATTGTTTTAGAATTGTATCCAGGCAACAGTTTTCCATATAAACTGACCTCTCAGTTTGACTTGTGAGGGTATTGCCCCAGAATTACAATATTGTTTAAGTACCTCTTAGCTATTGATAACTGGTTTAAATATTGCAGCTTGTTATCTGTTAGTTTCTAGTGTAGAAAATATCAATCTGTTTTCTATCACTTAGATCTGTGTAACAAGTGATGTAGTTGTGAAACAATATTACATGTGACCGATGTAGTAAATTCGAATCAAAGTTACGCTTCGATTTGACTCTCAGATATGAAGTGAACACCCCAAATATATTATTTAGCACCCAAAAAAAAAATGGACTTTTTAAAACTCTAATGTAAGCAGCAAATTAGCAGCAAAACAATTAGAATGTTTACAACTGCGCTGTAAGCGCACTATTTGACGCTTCTATTTGACTCTCAGATATGAAGTGCACCACAGGCCGCAAATGTACTATTTATCAGATTAGCACCCAGAAAATAAGAATGTTTACCACTGCGCTGTAAGCCCACTATTAGACGCTTTTATTTGACTCTCAGATATGAAGAGCAGGCCCCAAATTTGACTATTTAGCAGATTAGCACTCAGAAAATAAGAATCTTTACAACTGCACTGTAAGCACACTATTAGACGGTTCGATTTGACTCTCAGATATGAAGAGCAGGCCGCAAATGTACTATTTAGCAGATTAGCACCCAGATAATAATAATTTTTACAACTGCGCAGTAAGCGCACTATTTGACGCTTCTATTTGACTCTCAGATTTGAAGTGCACCCCACTAATGTACTTTTTAGCACCCAAAAAATTATACGTATTAAAACTGCAATGTAACAGCAGTATTTGACGATTCTATTTGACTCTCAGATATGAAGTGCACCCAACTAATGTACTATTTAGCAGTTTAGCACCCAAAAAAATTGAAGTTTTAAAACTGCAATGTGATAGCAGTATTTCACGCTTCTATTTGACTCTCAGATATGAAGTGCACCCCACTAATGTACTTTTTAGCACCCCAAAAATTTCAATTTTTAAAACTGCAATGTGACAGCAGTATTTGACGATTCTATTTGACTCTCAGATATGAAGTGCACCCCACTAATTTACTATCCCACTAATGTACTATTTAGCACCAAAACAAATTTACTTTTTAAAACTCTGATGTAACCGCAGTATTTAAAGCTTCTATTTGACTCTCAGATATGAGGTGCACCCCACTAATGTACTAGTTTGCAGAATTCTTTCCTAAGATGTCCCTCACAGCTGCAGCATCCTCTCCCTACACTAATAAGAGCTCATGTGCGTGTGGCGCTACGCGACTCCAGCTTATATATAGAGGCTGGGTCACATGCTGCACTGGCCAATCACAGCCATGCCATTAGTAGGCATGGCTGTGATGGCTTTTAGGGGCACACAAGTCAAACGCTTGTTGATTGGCTGCTCTGCAGCCTTTGAAAATGCGCCATTAAATTGCCAAACACCGAACTCCAACCCGAACATACAGTGATATGTCCGTATTCGGGTACGGGGTCCAAAAAACGTAATGTTCGGTACGAACCTGAACTTTACAGTTTAGGTTCGCTAAACTCTAATAATAAGATAAAATAAAGTAAAAAAATAAATACAATAAGAACACAAATACTATGAGTCTTCTTCCAGCTGTGCAAATTGTCACATATAAAAGTGTCTCTTATTCAAAGAGTAGGTTCAACTATAGTTCCTAGGTTTGTTAAACTTGGGGGATGTGGAAGATATGGGTGTCTTTTGGTCTCATATGTGGGTAAAGAGACAAGATAACCTGAGTGCAATATGTCAAGACTTAGTAAGCCATGTATAGGTAATAATGATATTGCACTCACATATAAGGGAGCTATGGCCAGCTCTAATGTGGATCGCCTATAGTGGAATACTCCCCACTATTTGGATATGGTGAAGGTTGATCTCAGCTGGAGGTTTTCTAGGTGCTCGGAAAAGAGATAAAAATAGCCACAAATAGTGCTCTCAGTAAAACAGTAATAGCTGTGTAAAATATAAAAAGATGTTACACGTATAGAGCAGGCTCACTGCTCTATGGTGACAGCGTTGGTGGTATGAGCCCCACCTGGGATTTTCTTGAGAGTAGTAGTAGATGAAGTAAAACTAGAAATAAGTAGAATATACTAATACTTGTAATATTAAAAAAAGCCAGGAAAGAATATTGAAATAAAAAAGGTAATAGTACAATAAAATGTTGTAAAACCAAAATCCTTTATTATATCAGATAAAAAAAAAAGTAATTTCTATAATGCGTTTCATCATAACAGACTTTCTCAAATGGATTAAAGCATGCATCCTGGCTGATAGGCTTTAAATAAGAGTAAAAGCATTTAAAAATGGTGCTATAAATGTGTGCACCAATCGCAATTGTAAAATAATAGCATTGATAAGAATAGATAAATAAATCATTGGTAATCAAAAGTATAAGTATAGGATGTATTTGATGATAATTTGAGTGAAAAACGAGGGTAGTAAAGTGCTTAATGTTTGAGAGGAAGGTGGTCATGTGACTCGCAGCATTTTGCCGCTTGCGAAATGTAGTTTCCGGCATTATTGGTGGTTCAGGGCGGCTTATGACATCACAATGGAAGAATTAATATGATCTACTTTTGATAACAAACAATGGTATGCCTCTACTTGATTCCATTGTAGCTGTCCTCTGGGTCTGCTAGCTCTGACAAACTCTGACTTTATGTAACCGCTTTCTTTAACTTCATGATAAAATGTGGTTTTGCTCTGTCCCGTTAGGCTGCATGTGCCTGCCCTCCCTGCCTTTTTGCCTGTTTATGCCTTTCTCTTTGCTGAATTTATTGAACTTAATTTTGATTCAATTCATATTGAATTATTACTTTAGTGAATAACTCTGTCTTTAGTGTTGTCTCCCAGGATATCATGATAGATGCTGCAACTAGCAAATGCTCGCCAAGATCTTAGCAAGCATTAATCTTAAACTGGTTTCAGTGCTTAACTAAGATTAGGAGCTCTGCACTGCATATTGTCAATCACAACAGGCATTGCAATTTTCATCGCATTGCATAGTGTCACACAAAATTCAGTTCAGTAATTGATAGAAGGAATATTTTGAATATTTAGTATTTTATTTTTTCTATTGTACCTACACACTTGTTCTAGCCTAACAGGTTCAATATTCTTAATATCTGGAATCAAACTTAATGACATATGATAAACTATACATTGGCCATCTGCTCTGGCTGGATACGATAAGTTTCACATTTGTTGAGATTAATAGCCAAGGTTTTGCCATAAAGTACTACATGCATGTTAATTTAGTGAAATGCAAAGGTTCTATCACACAATTCAGATGTATAGTCAAAGAGTCTAAAAAGGAAGTTAAGGAAGATTAATTATATAGTACAATTATCATCATATGTGATAAATCAAACTGCATAAAAAGATGTTAAGTTTGATAAGTACTCTTCAGCAGCTTTCTACTATATTTTTGAAAAACAACAATAAACTAGATTATTTTTAGAGATTTACTCATTTTAGAATGCTTTAGGCAATCATTATCCTAATTAGTCTCTGTCCACTATGCACACTATTCTGGATCATTAAGCTACCTCTCAAGATATATGCAGTAAAGTCTAATTACCTTCCAGAAATGTTAATTAAAAAATATGATAGATAATATTTTTTTCACTTTCACTTCCTTAGAAAAATGAATAGCTAATGGGTAAAGCCAGCACCATAATAATTAAACTACTATATTCTGTAACTCATTTTTTCATGCACAGAAAAGTGTTTTAAAATGAACTTAAGGTTATATCCATTTAGTGCGGATAAATCATTTGCACGTCCTCATGGTTTAGGTACGATATGTGAATGCCTTTAAAACTTTTTGTGCAGAACAGCAACTGTGTCGTGCACAACTTTTTGGTTGTAAATATTTTTTTAACCAAACATTAACTATTTCATGTGATTTTGAACTGTGTTAGAGGTTACTACTAGTAAGGTTTAAACATCATTAACATATAGGAATTATTCTTTGTGTGACTGGATGGGTAAACAACAACTTGTCCACAGTAATCATATGTAAATTAA